CTGGAAGGTTCTGAGTGGAGAGGAGACAAGTAAAGGCGCAGGCAGAATCCATGTTCAGAGCAAAGCAAGAGCTGAAGCCCACGCTGAGTGTGACATCAGAGGGAAAGGCTGGGGGCTTAGAGAGTGGGGAGTTTCAGAGCCAGGGCCCTGGGCAGAGCGATGGGGGTTTGTCAGGCACGGAAGGTCACAAAGCAGCAGCTCCGAGGTGTCTTTCATCCCCACCCTGGAGCTCCTGGCCCAGCGCCTCGCCCATGCTTGGACCTGTCACCTCCCAGCCATGTATGTCCTTGCAATAAAGTGGTTCTGCCCTTTGCAAAGCGACATTTACTCTGAGAAGAAAGACTCACACACCCAGAAAGTAAAAACCAAAGCTGCTGGCAAGACAGGCATCCCACACTCAGGCACCCACCACGGTGGCCACGGTTTCCCAAGGGGGAAAAAAAACATTACAAAATGACATTGCAGTGGCCGGCAGCAGGACAGAAATGAAACCAATGACCAAGGACAGCTGGTGTGTGTAACCACGGTCACTTAAGGCCATTCTCAGATGCCCAGATTGGGTGCAATTTCTTCCCCAAACAAGATATGCGCCTTTCTGATTCAAATAAGCATGCCGCCCTCTCGGGTTTAGGAAGGATAAAGGGCATGACCTGCCCTCACCTTTCTGCGTATGTTTCTCGTAGCCTCCCTGCCTTACTCCACATCCTCGGCCACCGTGAGTCACCCAACTTCAGGTAATGCCACTTGTCCTTAACTGACTAAGTATAACTCGCCTTGACAAAATCACCTGAGGTGGGGTGGGGTACAGTTTGGGGACCAAAAACCCTGGATTTGTTTTCCCAATTTCATCATTTACTAGCTGTGGTGCCTTGAGAATGTCTGAACTGCTTTGTGCCTCAGTTTCCTCATCCAGATAAGGGGGAGCATAGCCTTTGCTTCCTGAGGCCATGTTGGGGTTCAGCGGATCTCTCCGGGCGGAGTAGGTGGGGCAGTGCCGGCCGCATGGGCCACACTATTCGGATGTGGGAAGCCATGACCTTCTCACCCCACCTCTTCCAAGCGCAGCCGGCATCGATCTCTGTGTATCGCTCTCTACTTGGCAGAATTGTAAAAGATGAAGAAGCCGAAGGCACCACTTTCTAGCGTTTCCCTGACTCTGCGATCGGCCCAGTAGTTGTCACACTTCAAATTAAGTCAGTGCTTTCCCCCCGCCAGGTCTGTAAGAGTAAAAGAGAATATGCAGAAAAGAGTTGGGGGAACAGAGAAATGACCCCAAACTGTTAAAGGAAGCACTGGAGCAGGTTACGCCAAACAGCAACGACCCCCAGAGAATGTGTCCTTGAGTTTAAAATATATCTGTTTTTTTAAAAATATCAATCGGCATGCTTTGGTTTTCTTGAGCTTGTATCACGTGGTCGCGGACACACCACTTGGGCGATGGAAGGAGAGCTCCCCGCAGAGAAATGGCTTGGGGAGGGGATCAATTTAAACTCGCACACTATAGCCGATCCACCGGGGAGAGAGCCCACTGACAGGTGGATGAGAGTTAAGTATGTTGGCATCTGAGATGTTGTATAACTTTTCCTTCTACTCTTCTGTCCTTAGCATCTTTTCCGGTGCCCACAGAGATGGCCAAACCCACAGGTAATCTTTTCTTCTCCCTTTGTAGAGTTTTAGCTCAGAAAAATTCCGGCATTACTGTGGGAGACAGTGTCCTTGCTACACACGCCTTCCTCCCCAGCCTCGGCCATGCCGAAGGCTGCTGCTGGAGGAAGGGCTGAAAATATCTAGGTTTCACCCCAAAAAATTGTGATTGGAAAGTGAGAGGAAATAAGAAACTGGGGGATGCAAGAATGGCTTATGGGGCTGGTTGGGAAGCTGGCACCTAGGTAGGTGAATAGGGGTGCCCTGCCGACCCCAGATCTCCACGCATTTCTGCCACGAGCTCGCCTTGGTTGTGTTCTGAGCATATCCAGCCTCTCTTCCTTTTTGTAGCTGCCCTTTTAACTTGGGGGTCAGCTATAACGACTGCTCTTTACACTCTCCAGAACGGCTTCCCATGCATGGTTGTACCTGTTCCTCGGAACAGCATAGATGAGCTATTGTTATTGGCATGTGATCGACATGTGCAAGGGCACACAGAATCTTCCACACACCCTAGTGACCGTGTGCCTGATAGTTGCTCATGAAAAATCCAATGAATTAACCTGTGTCAGAAACCAAGTCTTCGCAGCTCACAGTCAAAGAGAAGGGGGCAGCTGTGCAGTGATGCAGGTCGCTGCGCCAGCCGCCCAGGGAACAAAACTCTTTCTTAACCAGTTGTAACCTCAAAAGACACACTAATACCGAAGGCAAAAATCTATGAAATGAAATGGAGAGCAGCAGGGAGCAGATCTGTTATTATCGATTGTCAGTGCACAGTTTCCAGAAAGTCCTGCATTTCTCTTCCGGTGGCCCTTCCGGACGAGCCTTGATGGAGGTCGTTTTTTGGAATGTCCAACAAGGTCTGGGCCTGCGGCTGGTGAATGGGTCGAGCAGGTGCGAGGGCCGAGTGGAAGTCTACCACGCCGACACCTGGGGCACGGTATGCGACGACGGCTGGGCCATAGAGGATGCCCGCGTGGTCTGCAGACAGCTGGGCTGTGGCCTGGTCGTGTCTGCCCTCCCAGGGGCCAGCTTCGGCCCCGGATCAGGCCACATCGTCCTCGATGACGTCAACTGCACGGGAAGCGAGTCCTCTCTAGGGCAGTGCCCTCATGGTGGCTGGTTCACCCACAACTGTGGGCATCATGAGGACGCTGGCGTCATCTGCTCAGGTGAGCATGAGTCCCTTCTGGGCCAGTCATGGAGCTGCCCAGGCCGAGCCTGGAATTTACAAATGGAGTCTGGAAATGCCTCCATACCTTAACTCTGCCCCTATGTCTGGGACTGCGGATTTCTGTTCTAGCTCTGAAGAGTAGAATGCCAGCTGTTTAGTACATGCGACGGCATTTGACATGAGTGTCTACAGAGGTTAATCGCCAGTGAAATAAAGAAAATAATGGTACTTATCTCATGAAGTCATCGGGAGGATTAAATAACACATTCCACATAGAACATTCAGTCAAGCAAACGACATGCCAGAAGTGGACAGGAATGTTATCTATTTTGGTGGTGGTGTGATGGTGGTATTTTAGTTACTAAGTCAAATTCTTTCAGCATCACTGCCTCAGGGTTTTTAGCCAGGTGATACAACCTACACCTGGCTATAAACACCTGGAGGGGACAGCCCGAGGTGCCTAAGAGCAATGGTTTACTCCAGCTTGTGTGTCACATTTAAACCTTGAGGCCGAATCCACTCCACATCCTGGTTCCATGGCCAAACCTCTCTCCTAGCTCCTTATCTCTGCAGATGCTGCAGCTGGGAGTCCAGGTATCTGTGAGTTCACATCATTTTATTAGCTGACTGGTGACTAGCCCCCCGGTTCAGAGTCCTCCTTATCAGCCTTAACTTTCCTTGACAGTGAGCTCCAGACCCCTCCACCCTTCCAGAAGGTGACATTTTAATCAGAATAACATATACACAATTATGAGCTACCATCACATTTTAAATGGTAACTATTTGATCAGAGATCGGAGGGGGTCGTTTAAAGGCAAACGCACGCACGTGATTTTGATGGCGTGAGGAAGAAGGCGCGATTTCACTGCCTTTGCTTGAAATGTACTGATGATGTCTGTTTTTCTTTTTACGTGTGTAGTTTCTTCACCTGCTGGGGAACGGCCACACGTTTTCCATCCAATAGGTACTTTTTCTATTTTTACGTTTCATGACTGTTTTTCTCAGGCTGGGGTCCCTCCATCTGTGGCCAACAGAAATGTAGCCAACATTACTTTCACAGCCCTGGTGCCATGTGGAATAGAACTGTGCTCATCTGAGGCCAGCTGGTGTTACGGTGGATTCTTCTTGCGTAGGGGCCTCTCCGAGGAGAGCCAACCCACCCCTCGTCCTCGAAGCATCACTGAAAGCCCTGTATTAAGGCCGTGACCCACAGAGCGCTGTCATGGGATCTCTCGGGCTCAGAATCTAAGAATTAATTTCATCTACTTTTGGATGAGGAGTCAGTTTCACTTGGCCATTTACTTCCCTACCTTCTTGCAGTAGTGACACCATCTCTTCCTCTGCTTGCCGTTCTAACCCCCAACCTCCGCCATCATCCTCCAATAAATACTTTATAATTCTTCAGTTCAAGTAAAGTGAAATTAATTTTGTTCCGAGAATTTCATAGTATTCTTTGAGAGACCTGGGTTAGGAATGTGAAGTCTGAATTCCAGACATTCCACTGAATTGTTTTAAATTTTTTAAGAAACAAAATGACACCCAAAAGAGGATGAAGGCAGAGGTGACTTTTAAATGTACACGTCTTCTATAAAGCCAGCACATGGCCTGGATCCCCATAAAGAACCTGCCCAGTGAGGAAAAACGTAGTTAGTGCTAAATTTCAGATTTAAAAAGCATCTTTTACGAGAGCGTATCATTGCCTCTGCATATGTAATTCCCTACAGATATACGCTGCTGGGACAGCAAACTGCAGTTAGAATTCTCTAACTGGGAATGCTGCCTCATTCGAGAGTCAAGGGAACCTTCTCAAGCCAGCTTGGCCCTTGGCTCCTGCAGATCTGCCCGTGGTGAGGTTGGCCAACGGGAGGAGCGGATGTGAGGGCCGTGTGGAGATCCAGCACAATGGCACCTGGGGGACCGTGTGTGACGACCTCTGGGGCCTGCCCGCTGCCCAGGTCGTGTGCCGGCAGCTGGGATGCGGGGTGGCCCTGGAAGCTCCGAGGAACAGTCTCTTTGGTGATGGCTCTGGCCCCATCTTCCTGAACAACGTGTCGTGTGTTGGCAATGAGACCAGCCTGGGGCAGTGCTACCACCTCGGCCTGTCCGTCCACAACTGTGGGCACCACAAGGATGCTGGAGTCGTCTGCTCAGGTACCTGGACTCTCCCAACACCGGTTTCTCTCCCAAGCAGACCAACCCTGACAGGCTTGGGGTCCCAGGTCAGGTGACCCTGGACTCTCCCAACACCGGTTTCTCTCCCAAGCAGCGAAGCCATATCTGCCAAGCAGACCAACCCTGGCAGGCTTGGGGTCCCAGGTCAGGTGACTGCCTTGTCCCAGTTTGTTAGAAGTTTCCCAGTTTTAGCACTGAAAGTCTTATGTCCCAGGAACCCTCTCAAATTCAGACAACCTAGGACCTTGGTCACGCTAGTCTCAAGTGCGCCCAATATCATGACCAGTTCCCCTGGCTCAGAGCAGAGAAGAGGTCCTATGAGCAAAAACATACTTGAGAACCAGGAAATTGTATCCTCTCTCTTGAAAGATTTATAATGTCCAGGAATGATTTTTCTATGTGTGTGAACCTCATACATTTCTCATGAAGCTATTTCTCAGAGAAAGCTCTACGTTAATACTCTCCTGATTTGTTGATTGCCAAAGGTGGGTTTTTCTTGTCTCTACAGGCAATTTTATGCAACCACTTAAAAAAGCTGAACGAATATTTAAAAACCCTGTTTCATTACCTCTTGTTCCTAAGTAATATCTACAACAAACACCTGTGACTTCCTCACCCCACTGCTGGGTCTCCCCATAGCCCAGGGCCACCTTCTCCATCCCAAGAGGGCCGGGTGGAGAGGAGGTTCCAAAAGGGTGAAGATGGAGATGGGGTGAGGATGTTTCTCTCCCCTTCTATTGTTCCATAGTCATTTAAATCTGAAGAGAGGTCGTTCGATGTCTCAAACACGTCGTGGTATCTCCCGACGAGAACTCTGAGTTAAAATGGCATCGAGTACTCATCTGTCTATTTTATGGCCTCGCATCTCCTGAGAGGCCGTCAATGGCTTCTCCCTGGAAAAATTCAGGCAGATGCTTCCAATTACTGTCAAAAGCCAGGTGAGGGAAAGGTGGTTCAGAGAGGCTCCCTGGTTTGGACTCCACCTTTAGAAATGCTGGCCTGCCCGTGACGACGCTGCACGGGCCAGGATGTCCTGAACCAGCACACTGGCACCAACGTGGATTTGCCCGCTAACATAAGTGCCTTGGGTTTTCTCTCGCAGCGACTGAAGTCACCCCGGAATCAGCGGAAGCAGCTCCTCCAGCCGGTAACCCTCTTATCGTTCGTTTCAGTCATGTCTTGTCTCAGGCTTCCCGGTTACTGACTTTCTGGCAGACTCCCCGAGGTGATAGCCAGTGATGTCAGCATCCACCTAGACTCTTGCCTCCCCAGGACTGAGGAAACACAGGGCTGATGTGGATGGAGAGGTCACCAGCAGAGGTGGCCGCTTGTCTAGTCTCCGGGGGTCTCAAATTTAACTTTGAATCTAGGTCAGTGGACACGTTTGGCCTAAAGGAAATAATGAAAAGCTAAGCTGGACATATTCCGATATTATTGCTTAGCAATCTGATGACTCAGCTTTGAAATCGATATTTATCTTACCCTTGCATTCATCATATTTCAAATCCAAAGATGGGAATGATGGAATAAAAGACATGAAACGATAGGCTGGAAAAGCCAGTCACTGCATTTATTTATAAGCACTCATTTGACTTATCCCTATAGGACCCGGAAAAAGGAGGCAAGGTTAATTATATGAAGAACTAAAGAAAAGTCCCACTAGCAATTTAGAAATTAATTGCCAGAAAAGCCGATCACATTCTCATAGTAACCTCTGAGTCTCCCCCAGACTTGCCAGTCATCAGGCTGGTGGACGGGAGGAGTCGCTGTGAGGGGCGCCTTGAAGTATACCACAACGGCACGTGGGGGACGGTGTGCGACGACCTGTGGGGCATCGGCGCTGCCCACGTGGTGTGCCGGCAGCTGGACTGTGGGGAGGGCGTCAGCGCCCTGGGGAGCAGCCACTTTGGGGCGGGTGCAGGGAGCATCCTGCTGGACGACGTGCAGTGCCAGGGCAACGAGACCACGCTGGGCCAGTGCCAGCATCTGGGCTTGTCCGTCCACAACTGTGGCCACCAGGAGGACGCCGGGGTCATTTGCTCAGGTACTCACTTTTGGTTGCCAGAGAGATTAATGAACAGTTCTCACTTCCTGCATCCCTATGTCCATTTCAGTCTCATTCGAGAAAACATTCCTTTTCATTTCACATTTCACAAGTCTTTCGTGTCTCATTTTAGTATATCTGTGGTATACATTTTTAAAATTAAACCTGCCTTCTAAATTTCCTATTTGTGGGTGGGATTTTTGTTTGGATTTTATCGTATTTCAGTTTGTTTTGTTTGTCAATTTCAGCATCAGCTACAGGAACGACCACTTCGCCTGGTAATTTGGCTTGCTTTCTCGCTTTTATCAATCACATATGTATAGCTTACCTAGAAACTGACCTCCACAGAAAAGCGGACAGTTAAAAAAATTCTTCTTCGATGTTGGATATGTGAAAATTAGCCTCCAGGTCTCTTAAGCAAGGACAATTTCAATACGGCACCATCACGAGGTATCATTTGTCCGAGAGGTGAAAGAAATGTTAGAGATTGTTCAGGTCGGAAGTCACAGACAGGCAGCCAATGGGCCAATTTTGACCCATGAATGGGTTTTGATTCTGATAACAGTTTTGCTTATATGCTCTTTCATTTTTTTTAATACCACATTTTTTGTAAGGGAGGCTTTATATAAAAGTACCAATTTCAGCTCTGATGAAAAAAACAGGGAATGGGAAATACTAGCCAGAATTCTGGCAGAGCACCAATTGTCTGGGGTGGAGCAGGGAAGGACCTGACCCCCTTTATGTGGACATGTGCCATCTAGTTCTCTTCTACTCCACACCATTTATTTCTGGTCCAGGAGACATCTCCATGTGGCTGTTCACTGCTTCTCAAAACTTAACGTGCATGTAGCTCAGCTCAAGACCTTGTTAAATGCAGATTCTGATTCAGTAGGTCTGAGGTGGGCCTAAGAGTCTGCATTTCTAACAAAGTAATACAGATGCTTCTGGTCCACAAACTAGCCCTACAGATGTAGCAGCTCAGAGAGGCAAAATAAGAAGGGACTTGCCTGGGGTCACATGCTTGGTTACGCAAAGAGCAGAGATTAGAACCCAGGTCTCCTGGTGCATACGCCCAAGTACCACGTCCTCCATTATTTAGGTCCCTTAGCTTTATGAAACGGAGAAAAAGTCAAACAGGAACAGAGCAAAATCAAATATGCACATGACTGGGGCATAATTTGTAAAGAGTGACTTGTAAAAAAATTATTTACCAGTAAACTTGATTGCAAAGGATGCTATTTAATTGTCATTTATCTTATGCTTGTTTTCACAGATCTTACTTCAATTTCAGCCACAGATTTAGTGCTTACAACTGGTAATAAGATTTCTGGTGAATTTTCCTCTCATGATATATCCAAAAGATATTGCTGTGTTGAAATTCTACCTAGACAGTACAATTATACTATTTGGCAAGGGTCATTCTGCTGAATTGATCCCTTAATAATAGCCTAGAACTCTGAAATGGACAAAGAGGGCCTCTACACGGCCAAGATGAGGTCAGACATTCAAGTTCAAGTGGAGCACTTGAATACACACGGGCGCGTTCCACAGGGCCTGTTGTTCTTACTTTCTTACACATATAGCAAGTCCCCGTCCGGTCGCCCTACTGTCTGTGTTTTACGTGAGACAACGAAATGGGGAGAGGCACAGGGACTGGAGGGAGAGACCGCATAGCAGACAGAGCCTCGTCGGCGATGGCATTCAATGCTAACAGAGGCTGGGTGCAATTATCCGCGGAGTTCCTGATATGACTTTGGGTTTAGAATTGTCCAAATACAGTGTTGGAGGTTTATTTGGGGGAGGACGGTATAGAGGGCGCTCTACCCCACTCCAGGTGCTAAAGCAATTAAGAAAGAAAACATCAGAGTCAACACAAACATGGGCTTATTACCGGAGGGCAACGCTTCGCACAGGAGACAGATGCACCTGCCACCCCCTCCTCATGCTCACTCTAGATCTTGGGACAGCCCACCTAGGGACGGTTCCGGTCTGCAGAGCTGACCCTCTCCTGGGTCACTGCCTCCCACCCATTTGAAGGGAGGAGGGAGGACCGGGAAAGTAAGGCGCAGGGAGAGCAAGACCCCATCTGCAGAATCTTTGCTAGATCAGCCCCATACAGCAGAGAAACTGGGAGCAGTGGCGCTGCCCTCCGGACAGGTACCCTCCACCTCCGAGGGGAGAAGGAAAGGGCGAGGAGAGGAATGGAGACCCTAGGAGAGGAGGGGCGGCCTGGAGGCGATGGAGGACCTGGAGGTGCCTTGGGCAGCTCCTCTCTGGAAAGCAGAAAATCAAGCCAGGCCAGTCGCACTGTCCTGCGGTGGCCATTGTTTACATCTCCTGTATCTTACAGAAGTTTGTGCCTGTACGGCTGGCTGATCGAGGCCTTGTTTTTTTTCATCTACAGCTTCAATCACAACTGCCGTGACCTCCGCACCAGGTAAAATACTGTCTACTGTCCCTCTTGGAGTTCCAGTTAGGCTGTTCCATGGAAATTTTGTCCCCAGCACGGCCCCAGCAAAACAGAAACCCGGGCGTCCTCTCTACTGACATTTAAGTTTTCTTCTTCTTTTTCCATAGACATCTCTTCAATTTCAGCAGAAGTCACATCTCCAGCTTATAAAGGTGCTCTCGTTGTACTCTTTAAACAATGACATCTGCTTCTTCCTGGCCATGTCGTATTTAGAAAATAAGCCCACCCAATGGCCATCATGACCACAAAGTAAACCGCAGTGAAAACACACAGAAGTCCCTTCTCTCGTTTTAAAGTGTCCTGTTTTCTTTGTTCATACACAGATGTACCTTTAACCTCTGCAGAAGTGGACATACCCACTGGTAATGTTTTCTGCCTGTCACATTTCTTCAGTTAAATGCAATCAACTCTCCGGAGCTCTTTCTAGTCAACGAATGAACATAGGTCCTAAATAATTTGTCTATGGGATAACTCCCAATGTAAGCAGAAGTCCCAGTAGCCTTTTCACAGAAATTAAGCTTTCACGTTCCCTTGATTCATCCATAAACACAGAGTGGCCCCTCCGCCAGGGAGCGCCCTCTGCTTTTCGCACTGGTCTTAATCAGATGTGCCCAAGGGAGGCGAGGGCTGGGGGTC